GAGAGCAAGTTTCAGTGTCTCTTCTGACATCCATTTTGATCTTTTTCTTCTTTCTTGTCTTCTTAATGACTTTTTGCTTGCTTCCTATATGATGTTCTTGATGTCATCCCACAATTCTTCTGGTCTTTGGTCTTTAGTGTTTAATGTATCAAATCTGTTTTTCAGATGATTTCTAAATTCAGGTGGGATATATTCAAGGTGATATTTTGGCTCTCGTGGACTTGTTTTAATTTTCTTCATCTTCAGTTTGAATTTGCATATGAGCACTTGACGATCTGTTCCACAATCTGCCCCTGACCTTGTTTTGACTGATGATACAGAGTTTTTCCATCATTCCTTTCCATGGATGTAATCAGTTTGATTTTTGTGTATTCCATCTGGTAAGGTGCATGTGTATAATCGTCTCGTATGCTGTCTAAAGAAGGTATTTGAAATGAAGAAATCATTGATTTTTCAGAATTCTATCATGCCATCTCCAGCATCATTTCTATCACCAAGGCCATATTTTCCAACTACTATTCCTTCCTCTTTGCTCCCAACCTTTGCATTCCAGTTACCAGTAATCCTATCACTATATCTTGATTACATGTTTGATCAATTTCAGATTGAAGAAGTTGGTAGAATTCTTCTATTTCATCCTCACTGGCTTTAGTGGTTGGTGTCTAAATTTGAGTAATAGTGGTAATAACTGGACTTCCCTGTAGACACATGAATATTATCCTGTCACAGACAGCATTATACCTCATGACTGATCTGGATATCTTCTTTTTGACAATGAATGCAACACCATACCTCTTGAATTTTTCATTTCCAGTATAGTAAACCATGTGGTTGTCAGATTCAAAATGACCAATACCAGTCCATTTTAGCTCACTAATGCCTAAGATATCAATGTTTATGCGTTCCATTTAATTTTTGACAATTTCTAGTTTTCCTAGTTTTATACTTTGTACGTTCCATGTTCTGATTATTAATGGATGTTTACAGCTGTTTCTCTTCAGTTTGAGTTGTGCCTCATCAGTAAATGAAGGTCCCGCGGGCTTTTCTCCCACGGGCTTTACTCCATCATCACAGTCAACTCTACTTTGAAGAGGCAGCTCTTCCCAGTTGTATTTTGAGTGCCTTCCAACCTGAGGGGCTCATTTTCTGGCACTATATCTGACTGTTTTTTTCTGCTATTCATAAGGTTTTCAGTGACTAAATATTCGGAAGTAGTTGTTCACTCCTTCTTCCTAGTCTGTCTTCGTCTGGAAGCTCCTCTGAAACGTGTTCACCATGGGTGACCCTGCTGGTATTCAAAATTCTCATGGCATAGCTTCCAGAATCACAGCAAGTCACAAGCCACCACAGTATGACAAAGCGACAGACGAGTGGTGGTTCCTAGTCATAGCTACCCTATATAAGATTTATAAGGCTGTACATCTTTGTATGAGCAGAAAGCCTTATCTTTCTCCCACGGAGCGTTTGGTGGGTTTGAACTGCCAGTCTTGTGGTTCATAGTCCAGTGCTTTTGTATAGACTCACAGTGCCCCCCATAATTATAAATAAGTATATATAAATTATATAGTTAAAGAAACTTTATTGATTTGGATAACCATTTACAGAACAAATCGGTTTTCCAGTCAGCATTCATCCACGTTTTGTTTTGTGACACTGATTGCAATTCCCACAATGGAACAGCGCTCTTCCTAATTTCATTAATGAGACCACTTTAGGACTAAAGGAGTTTTCTCATTTTCTAATGTGGTGGTGGTGGTGTTTGCTGTGGAGTTGGTTCCAATTCACAGTGGCCCTGTATAGGGATTCCAAGGCTGTGAATGTTTATGGGAGCAAAAAGCCCCATCTTTTTCCTGTGGAATCGCTAGTAGTTTTGAATTGCTGACCTTGAGGTTATCAGCCCAACTCATAACCACTATGCTACCAGAGCTCCTTATTTTCTAATGTAAATGACTATTATCTGGTTCTGTTAAATACAGTGATCTATTTTATTTTGTATTATTAATAATTGATTCAGTTAACTTCTAAGCATTTTAATTTTATGCCCATAACACTTTACCACCATATCTAATACATACTTGGAAATTTTTAGCGTATTGTAGTCATATTCACTTCGTTACACTAGAGGACTTGTATGCTTTTAACTGCTTTGTGAATTTTGTACATTTCTTTATAAACATTTCTAGGATTTAAAAATCACAGAACTCATGATTGATAATTTCTCTGTATTTCAGTGAGGATCTTAGACGCTGGTTCATACAACAAGAGATGGATCTTCTTCGATTTCGGTTCAGTATTTTACCTAAGGACAAGATTCAAGATTTCTTAAAGGATAGCCATTTACAGTTTGAGGCCGTAAGTATATTTTTATAGTTATATCTAATTGTCTTCACTTTTCTCTTTTGCCTTTGAGTGTTGGTATTAATGTGTGAAGTTGGTTTTCTTTGCATTTCTTTCCAAGTGTTTGCATGAAAGAGTAAATAGCTAGAAATTTTGCACAACAGTGTACCTTCCGCCATCCCCAGCTAGAGACAAAGGTTTTCTTCCTGGTATCAAAGCCTTCCAGTTTAGTGACTTTACCTATTAAATTTGTGATGTTAGTAAAGTGCAAAAACGGGAGCTCTGGTAGTGCATTGGTTACGCATGGGGCTGTTAACAGAAAGGCTGGTAGTTAGAATTCACCTAGCTGCTGTGTGATAAAAAGACCTGGTTATCTACTCACATAAAGATTACAGCCTGGAAAACTCTATAGGCAGTTTTATTTTGTCACATGGGGTCGTTGTGAGTTTGGTATTATCTACTTGATAATATCACACAACAATAACAAACTACAAAAAAAAATTAGATTGTATAAGTTAATTTTTAACCAAAATCTTATAGACCAATGTTTAAAACTAATAATATATTAAAGAATACAGATAGATGATAGTTACTTATTTGTAGTGAAGATGTTGTTGCTAAGTGCCTTTGAGTCAGTTCCGACCTATAGCGACTCTCTATAGAGTTTCTGAGGCTCACAGCTCAGGTGAGCTTGAACCGCGACCTTGTATTTCAAACCGACTGTGCAGTCCAGCTCATTAACCCACAGCAGAGGGGGTGATAGTCAGAAATATCTGTTCTCTGAAGAGTTTAAAAAATAGTTTTACTGACAAATCAGAATGATTTACATATTATAATTATATAAAAAGAAGAAATGCATGGAACATATTAGTAAGGACAGATCATCTTTTAGGTGAATCTAAGCTGCAGTGGGGAGGTAGAAAATTCTGCTATGGGAGACCTAGAGCTATTGGTGGTAGGACTAGTTGGTGGACTGTAGTTTGGTGTTGGAATGGGTGGCTTGAGGTCAAATGAAGTTAGAATGTAGAAGTTGTAGTAGATGAAAGAACATTGTCCTGTCTGATAAGTCGAGATGTACCCACTGTAGCAAAGAGATTATGGAAAAGAAATGTGTTTAGTATCTGTGACATTCTAACAAGGGACATTACATCCATAGTTTCTCAGATTTACTTGCCCTAAAAGACCCTGGAGGAGCAGAAGATTTCTAGATAACATTTTCTGTGAAGTGGTTGGGACCAATGCCAAATGCAAGATCTTCTGACCTCAAAGCCCCATTCATTTTCCACTTTGCTTTGATCCTTAGAGACATGTTATGACTAATATCAATTATAGTTGTTATCTATTCATTTTAAAACCAGTTTTTTGTTGTTGAAATTCCTCATTTTATTGGAGATGTGTCCTTGAGAAGGTCTGTTCTTTTATTGTAGAGTGTCTCAATGTGTCAAGTGTAATTTTTTTAATAATAGCTTTATTAAGGTGGAATTCATATACCATGAAATTCACTATTTTAAAGAGTGCAGAACAGTGACTTTTAGTGTAATCAGAATTGTGTAACCATCATCACTGTTTCCTTTTAGAACATTTTCTTCACCCTTAAAAAAGAAACCGTGTCCTTTAGTGGGCACGCCCCCTTTTACATTTCCCCTAATCTGTTTTTAGTCTCTAAATTTGCTTATTCTGGAGATTTTATGTGAATGACAAGCCTGCCTATGTTCTTAGTGCTTTTAAAATTACTTTTAATTTTTTAAAATATTTTATTGTGACTTGGGTGAAAGTTTACAGAGCAAAATAGTTTCCCATTCCACACTTTGTTTTGTGACATTAGTTACAATCCCCTAAGTGTACCAGCATTCTTCCTACTTCCTGTCTGAACTTGCTGCTTTTGTGATGTGAGAATAAGCTTCTTTGTGTCTGACCTAAAAATCTGTTGTTAAGTGTAATCAAGTTGGTACTAACCCATAGTGACCCTGAGTAGGGTTTCTGAGGCTGTAATCTCTGAGACTATAGAGAGTCTCATCTTTCACCTGTGGACTGGTTGGTGGGTTCAAACTGCTGACCTGATGGTTCCCAGCCCATTGCTTATCCTCTTAAGCCACTGCCCTTCCCATTGATTTATAAGTAATGTAAAATAAAATTGCAGCCCTGACAATCAATTTTGTGACTTTGGGTAAATTTTCTATTCTCTTTTTCCTCTTTAAAACTGGTATAATGACAATCAGTACTTCAGAGATCTGTGAGGTTTGAGTTAAATGGTATGTGTAGTGTACTTAGTATTGGACCTGGCATATATGCTAACTAGTAATATTATGGAAGCTATTGAGCTAGCAAATGGTCAAATAGTTATGTATTAGAGGGATTAGACTGAATAGACGGTTAGGTTCATATGTTTTACTGCAGTTTAAGAAACCCAGTTTTGGGTTGTTTATTTTAGGGTCAGGAGCACTGAAGGCCCAGTGGTTAAGTGTGTGGCTGCTAATCAGAAGGCTGGCAGTTTGAACCAGCTGTTCCACAGGAGAATGAGGTGGCAGCCTACTTCCATAAAGAAACAGCCCTGGAATCCTTATGGGCCAGTTCTATTTTGCCCTGTATTGTATATACGGTTACTATGAGTAAGAATTGACTCAGTGGCAGTGAGATTTTTTTTTTTTTTGGTCTCAGTATTCTAGGAAACAGGAAATTGATGGAAAATAATACGTATGATTTTAACAAGTGTGTTGGCAGTCAGTCACTATCATGGTTTCCAGTCTTGCTCTAATTGTTCATACTTCTTTGCTATTTTTATTTATATTCTATTTCACGCTGCAGGTCATTCGATATATATTATCATAAGCATGTATTTGAGACATAATAAACGTACATTCAAGTAAGATGTGGACATATGAATAAAACTGGAAGTGACTGAAGGGAAAGTGAATAAGCACATTTGTATGGCACATGGTCTTTTGTAGTATCTAAAGTGAACCAGAACTACCTTGTTAGCTGTATGACTGTTTTGGGTTTTCTAATTCAATGATTCTCACTGGGAAATAGGATGGGGAGGTAGTTCTCTTATGGTATTTATCACAACCCTAGGGTGGAGGAATGGAGAGTATAAATAAAAATGCACCTTTTGATTTTGAAATGTAAATGACAGGTGGTAAAGCTTAAGCAAGTGTTTTGTAGCTGGTGCGGATTTGAGGAAGATAGAGTGAGAAAGCATTGCAGGGAAAACTATTTCTGTGATATCTTGTAATCACTTTCCTGGCAGAGGCCTTTTTTTCTATTCTACTGCCCTCCTATGGCATCTGACACTGATAATTAAGACTCATGAATTTAGGTGCTGTTAATTAGCTTGCTCCCATGCTCCTGGGGCCCTGCTGGTTTCCTTTAGGCTTTTTTACTTGCTACTGTTTTATCAATGTGGCGCTGTGGGTTAATGCGCCAGACTGCAAAGCCGTTTGAACTGCAAGGCTGGCGGTTCAAGCTCACCAGCTGCTCCTTGAAAACCGTATACAGGGTCGCTATAGGTCGGAACCGACTCGACGGCATTTAACAACAGCAACAATGCAGTTTCTTCACTTTGCAGTATTTGGTTTACATTTGAAAGCCATTTTGCTAAAACAGGTATCAGTGATGCTTTTTTGCCATGTTTTAGACCCAAGAAGAATGCAAGGATTGCTGGGAGGTTTTTGGCATTTTTGCCTTAGATGCTCTCTAATGTGTGCTGGACTCTACTGCCTAAGAAAGGGAGAGTCTTTGAAAGCTGGATGCAACCACTGGGCCATCTTGGTAGCAGAAGCTGGATTACTGGCACACATTGTGAGATCTACCCAGACTTGAAGTGCCTGTGCATCCTGTTTGTATATCTTCTCTTTCTTTTCAGTTTCTAAAGCTGCAGAGACTTTGTGTTAATCTACTTCTGTAGAAGATACATGTTTGAAGGAGGTGGAATATTGTATGTAACCACATTACATAATACTTGCCTTGGTGGAGCAATATGTACAGGAAAAGAGATCATTAATTTATTAGCATAGATGATTAAATTATGCTTTTGGTCAGATTACCATGGCTATCGTAATTTTATTGGATAAACACTTGGAGGAGGTAGATGAGGCCCAGTTTTCCTATCATGGACTCTTGTTTTCTGTTTCTGACTCTAGCAGTGCTTTGATACTTTTGACGTTTTCAGTCTCTCCTTGGATTTCTAGGTGGAATGTGACTCAGTCCTGGTGTAGAATCTGAGTCTCTGTGACATGAAACAGAAAGGCTTAACATGAAACGCTCACGGAGGATGTTTTTCATTCTTTGACTTCATATGTAAATAACCTGGATTTGAAATCTGAAATTTCTAAGGAGGCTTAGAAATGAATAAATGTTACTGTCTACGTGACCCGTTTTTAATTTCTTATTGCTGAGGTGATTGATTTAACCTGTGCCACATTAAAGGTGAATGGGGAAGGTTAAGCCAATTCTGTTAATGGTTCTTCAGTTGACCAGTTAGGAAAAGGTCAGTCTTTGACAGCTGTCAGCCTCACAGACAAAGAGTCTATACTGTTACAGTTCAGAGTCTTTGAAAACAATTTAACTTATCTTATGTTTTATAAAACCTCCTTGCTGTTGTTAGGTGCCATTGAGTCAACTCTGACTCATAGCAACAACTGTGTATGACAGAGAAGACCTGCCCCATACGACCTTTTAAGCTGTAATCTTTACAGGAGCAAATGGCCAGGCATTTTCTCTCACAGATCTGCTGGTGGGCTTGAACCACTAACCTTTCAGTTATCAGTCAAGCATGTAATTACTGCACCAATATTTGTATTTGATTTGAAATACCTTTTGTTTGATTTGATATACTAGTGGATCTAGTGACAAGCTGCTTTTCAATAGTAGAAAAATATAGACTGGGAGGGACAGTGAAGGTGAGTATCCTTAAAGAGGTGGGCAGTATTCTGTGTGTCACAAATGAAATCCACTGCATATTAAATAGAACTTATTGTTAAGTGTTGTTGAGTCTGAGGAGTGGCTGGTGGGTTTGA